CACTGGTTTGAAGATCATAGAACACTCAGTCTGGCGAAGGCCCACAAACCTGGAAGCTGACTCAATGGCGAAACCAGAACCATCTTAGCTGCAGCCCTAGCCTGAGCATGATTTCATACACAGTCAGTATCCTGCACAATCAGCACAGACCTGTGAGATGTGCCCAAAAATGATCAGATCCATATAGTTTCCGGTTGTTACACGTGCGCGAATGACCGGAAACTATGCAAAAAAGGCTGAGCAGCATTTGACTGCATATTCTAGTGGGATTTGCGCAAATGAGCTAACCTGTCAGTGGCAAAATCGCTGTAAAAGAAGTGATTAATACTCTTGAAGTTCAAAATACGGATCGAGTAAGCATCTTTTCATCGACCGAACATCGCATTGGTAAGTGCAGTGGGCGAACACGGATCATTAAAATGGTACATTCAGCCAACGAAGACATCATTGCGAAATGAGCATATAAAAATATCATGCCCTGAGGATGTAAATTGAAAAAATCTGACCGATAAAGAGGGATTTAATTTCTGTTGTGATTAATGCCGGAAAGATGATGAGAGGGGGCCATCAGCTCTTTAAAAAGTCAACTGGTAAAACGATCAAGATCGAGGAGCTGCAGAAGACGACCCTTTTAGAAACTGTTACATTTTAAGAAGAGTAATTCAGCTGGTTAGCCTTTAGAGAACATTCGAGCTTGAACGAAGTGCAGACAAGTTATTGGAAGTGTGAAAACAGTGAAATAGTTAATGAAATAATACCCTCTCTTGATTTCGTTGTGTGTAACTTTCTTTCTATGGTTTTTTAACCATCTCTAATTGCTTTTTAGTTAATCACCTCTTGCAGCAAGGCATCGATCCGGACTGTCGAAACGAAGACGGACTGACGGCATTGCACCAGGTACTTGTTGATTTATGATCCGTTGCTTGTGCTGTTCATCGCCGCCATCTTGCAGTGCGCCGTTGATAATAACGAAGAAATCATGCGGATCTTGTTAAGCTACGGCGCGAACGTCAACGTCCGTGATTCTGAGTTGTGGACCCCACTGCACGCGGCCGCTTGCTGTGGTCACATCAGCATCATGCAGCTTTTGATCAAGAGGTAACGGTGTCACCCATGTCTTTCTTAGTGAATCTGTTTTTCTTCAGCGGTGCCGAACTACTCGCTGTCAACTCTGACGGCAACATGCCTTACGACGTTTGCGACGACGAAGAAGCGCTAGATTATATCGAGACCGAGATGGCTAGCCGAGGTATGCTAAACCATGGAGCTTGGTTTGCATTGCATTCTAATAAGGCAGCCTCTCTCTCACCTTAAAGAGTTTTTTCACAGATGACGTACAAAACTTATTACTTTCTCCGTTCGAGGGGTTGCCATGCTTTACTCAGCCCCTCTGAATTTGCGGTCAGAGTTTCTCTTTAGAGAAATCTACTCTAACGCTATCAAAGAATCTGCGGTTTATTTCCTAATTTGTTACCACTACCTCATGAGTAGCCGCTGCTTTCAGATTCGTAGTAGATGTTCATCGCTCTTTAAATGGGGTCAGTGGTGCAGCCGGGTTGAAACTCTACGCGTGATGTAAACATTTTCTTGCTAATTGCTAGTACCCCTGAATAACGGATTTACCACACTGTACTTCGGTGCAATCAGCCGAAAAACGGATAGCAAATTTTTGATCTGCGAGCAACAGGGACACCATGATATTTCAGTGTGGTTATGCTAAAGCATGCGAGACATATGGCAAAGCTGTCTAATGCATGCGTCTTTCGGCTGCCATTCGAACTCACCTGATGGCTGACTAAACATCAGTACTTGCTATCCATTTCTCAGCTGGTTGCCTCGAAACAATGTGGGATAAATTTCGCGATCAAAGAAATAGTAGCGATTAAGATAAATAGTGTCAAATCTCTGTACTTGAATTCTGTGCCTCCGGAGTTCGAGTCGATCTCTTTGCCACGGCGTTCCGAGACAGAACGTTTTGGATGTGCGATAGGGCCAACGATCTGGGTAAGAAGCTGAGCAGTGACGCTTTGATAGCATGATAATTAACATTTTTGACAGGATTTAGTATCAGATGACCCTCTTAGAGTTTTTCGACAGGATGAACGTGCTAAGCTGCAGTACTGTCTTTAGCTTTGCTGTGTTTTTTGCTTGAGTCAACTTCACCGATTGTTGAATGACAGCATCAGTGTGGCATTACTGTTACACTGTTCGCGACTTCTTTCTCTTTACATTAGCTTAAGCTGAGCGCTTCTCGATCGGTGGAGCATCAGACCCTGAACAGAGATCTCAGGTTGAAGCGTCGGTTGGGTCACGCTCGTTCGTCTTTCTTCCGCGTTTTGTAAATGGGTAAAACTGTGAAAGGAAACGGCAGACTACACACTATGTTTGCCACATGGCTACTGTCGACTGTGCTTTAACAAAAAGCAATCCTGGCTGATGGCATGCAGGTGGAGATCAGTGCCCCGTCATTTTCTTCATAAAAAAGGGCGCCAGAAATGATTCCATTATGAAAGTGCAACTTTGACATTCTAACAGTTGTGAAGTTTCCTTTGCTTTTTTCCCTCCTTATTCTTAAGATTGTCTGTTTATTTTTGAGACCAGACGTATTTATGACAGCTCTTACAATTTCTTGAACCTCTGAGAGTACTTGCATTTTTCCTTACTTCAACAACGGATCATTTAGGTCTAATTGCCGTTCTAGATCTGGAGGAGAGACTGCTCGATGTATTATATATCACGATATCCTGCTGGGTTATTAACAGGAACCTAAAACGCCCGTCTTGTGACCTGCACGTGACTTTGGTTCTCTCAGGGTGGATACATCCCGAAATCACGTTCATGAAAACTGTTTCTCTGTTCAGCTTTTTACTGTTTGAAGATTAATGATCAGTACGTTTTCTTTGCAAAAGGCTCTTTATAGGTATCACTCAGGAAGAGATTGACGAAGAACGTCTTGTATACGAAAAGAAAATGCTAGAAGATATGACGTGGATTAGCAAACATGGCGGCAGTCTGGACTTTAAGAATGACACAGGCGCGACTC